CACTACCACTACCACACTGCCACACTGCCACACTACCAGACTACCACACTACACTATCGGACTATCAGACTACCAGACTACTATCACTACCACTACCACACCACTACCACACTGCCACCACCACACTACCAGACTACCAGACTACCACACTACGCTACCAGACTACCAGACTACCAGACTACCAGACTACCACACTGCCACTACCAGACTACCACATAACTGACACACCACACTACCACACCACCACACTACCAGACTACCAGACTACCACACTACCAGACTACCAGACTACCAGACTACCACAACTACCAGACTACCACACTACCAGACTACCAGACTACCAGACTACCACACTACCAGACTACCACACTACAAGACTATCAGACTACCATGCAAACTCAGACAAAAGCTCCAGGACCCCGACTATTGAAAGGTCGTTACTTTAATCAATAACCACCTGCTATTCCATTGCCGCTGACTTTTACTTCACCCGGAAAACAATGTCTGTCATTAATTATTTACTGGTATTGATGTCCCCGTGGGAACACCACGTTGCAAATGTACCCGTGTATTAAGTTGGGAGTAACTCTAGACTTAGATTGTGCACTTGACGTTTTATCGAAACCTTTCGGTCCTGTTTATTACATAGACCAGTGTATGGTTATAGCTCTCAAACAATTACCAGCAGCGTCCATATTAACATCGTCGTCGACTTCGTTGAGTTGCTGTACTGTTAGCAGTTGTGATCATATCGTTGTTGGTGTTGTCGTTGTTTTGAATGCAGAAGTTACGTACACCCATACCAGCTCGACCGCAGATGTTGGAGCATGTTCGTTCTAATTAGTTCATATATTATCAGCCAAACTGTCTGTCTGTCCGCCTGTCTGTCTGTCCGTTGGTCTGTCTGTATATAGTCTGTGTGTCTCTCTCTGTCTGTCTGTCCGTCCGTGTGTCTGTCTGCCTCTCTGTCTGTCTGTGTCTGTCTCTCTGTCTATCATGTATGCATTCATGTATGCGCGCGCGTGCGTGCGTGCGTGCGTGCGTGTGTGTGTGAGAGAGAGAGACTTGCCAGGTGTGTCGTGTGATCGATTGCTCTTATCGATGTGAGCGTCCCAGTGGTGGAGGTCAGTGGGTCGGCAGTACATACCGGTAGCTGCTGTCACAAATAATACAGCAATACCTGCTGCACTAACAAGTGAACTATGTTCGGGCTCTGCCGATCGATAACTAAACACTCCCTTTTACTCCCAAATTAGGGTAAAACAACGTATGATACTTCTTTCTCACCCCGGTATGGTTGCCTAGTGTCACACACTTCCTTGACACCACGGTATGGTTGCCTGGTGTCACATCACACTTCCTTGACACCACAGTATGGTTGCCTGGTGTCACATCACACTTCCTTGACACCACGGTATGGTTGCCTGGTGTCACATCACACTTCCTTGACACCACAGTATGGTTGCCTGGTGTCACATCACACTTCCCTGGCACCACGGTATGGTTGCCTGGTGTCACATCAGACTTCCTTGACACCACGGTATGGTTGCCTGGTGTCACATCACACTTCCTTGACACCACGGTATGGTTGCCTGGTGTCACATCACACTTCCTTGACACCACCGGTATGGTTGCCTGGTGTCACATCACACTTCCTTGACACCACGGTATGGTTGCCTGGTGTCACATCACACTTCCTTGACACCCTGGTATGGTTGCCTGGTGTCACATCACACTTCCCTGACACCACGGTATGGTTGCCTGGTGTCACATCACACTTCCTTGACACCCTGGTCGGTATGGTTGCCTGGTGTCACATCACACTTCCTTGTCACACACACACGGTATGGTTGCCTGGTGTCACATCACACTTCCTTGACACCACGGTATGGTTGCCTGGTGTCACATCACACTTCCTTGACACCACGGTATGGTTGCCTGGTGTCACATCACACTTCCTTGACACCACGGTATGGTTGCCTGGTGTCACATCACACTTCCTTGACACCACGGTATGGTTGCCTGGTGTCACATCACACTTCCTTGACACCACGGTATGGTTGCCTGGTGTCACATCACACTTCCTTGACACCACGGTATGGTTGCCTGGTGTCCCATCACACTTCCCTGACACCATGGTACCCTGGTATGGGTTGCCTGGTGTCACATCACACTTCCTATGGTGTCACATCACACACCTTGACACCACGGTTGGTTGCTGCCTGGTGTCACATCACACTTCCTTGACACCACCACAATGGTATGGTTGCCTGGTGTCACATCACACTTCCTTGACACCACGGTATGGTTGCCTGGTGTCACATCACACTTCCTTGACACCACGGTATGGTTGCCTGGTGTCACATCACACTTCCTTGACACCACGGTATGGTGCCTGGTTGCCTGGTGTCACATCACACTTCCTTGACACCACGGTATGGTTGCCTGGTGTCACATCACACTTCCTTGACACCATGGTATGGTTGCCTGGTGTCACATCACACTTCCTTGACACCACGGTATGGTTGCCTGGTGTCACATCACACTTCCTTGACACCACGGTATGGTTGCCTGGTGTCACATCACACTTCCTTGACACCACGGTATGGTTGCCATCACACTTCCTTGACATCACATGGTTGCCATCACACTTCCTTGGTGGTATGGTTGCCTGGTGTCATCACACTTCCTTGACACCACGGTATGGTTGCCTGGTGTCATCATCACACTTCCTTGACACCACGGTATGGTTGCCTGGTGTCACATCACACTTCCTTTCCTTGACACCACGGTATGGTTGCCTGGTGTCACATCACACTTCCTTGACACCACGGTATGGTTGCCTGGTGTCACATCACACTTCCTTGACACCACGGTATGGTTGCCTGGTGTCACATCACACTTCCTTGACACCACGGTATGGTTGCCTGGTGTCACATCACACTTCCTTGACACACACTTCCTTGACGGTATGGTTGCCTGGTATGGTTGCCTGGTGTCACATCACACTTCCTTGACACCATGGTATGGTTGCCTGGTGTCACATCACACTTCCTTTGACACCACAGTATGGTTGCACCCCAAGTATGGTTGCCCGCATCACTTGCTTGACACCATGGTATGGTTGCCTGGTGTCACATCACACTTCCTTGACACCACGGTATGGTTGCCTGGTGTCACAAAATATTATAGTAAGTGACCAAAAATAAGTTCCGTGGAAACACTTAAAACACAGTTTTCCTAAATGGTCGCTAAGTGTATTTAATGTTTGGTTCAGTATAGATGTTATGTAACTATGGCAACGTACAATGATTTGTTTAGTCACTATGGTTTTCTTGACGCCTTCATGGAGGAGTGTTTTTCACGATATCAGTGATACTGTCAAAGGAAAAAAATTATGCCTTTTGAGTAATATATTGAGTTAACCGCCTTCAATTCATTTTTGTTGTTCTTGTTTGAGGTTGTTGTTCTTGTAGCTGTGTTGTTGATGTTGTTGGTGTGGATGTTGTTGCTGTTGTTGTTGCTGTTGTTGATGTTGATGTCGTTGTTGTTGATGGTGTTGTTGATGATGTTGATGTAGTTGTTGGTGGTGTTGATGTTGTTGTTGTTGATGTTATTGTTGATGATGTAGTTGTTGTTGTTGATGTAGTTGTTGCTGGTGTTGATGTTGTTGATGATGTTGTGGTGGTTGTTGATGATGTTGTTATGATTGTTGTGATGGTTGTTGATGATGTTGTTGATGGTGTTGATGTTGTTGGCGATGTTATTGTTGATGATGTAGTTGATGTTGTTGATGATTTTGTTGATGATGTGATGGTTGTTGATGATGTTGTTATGATTGTTGTGATGGTTGTTGTTGATGTTGTTGATGTAGTTATTGGTGGTGTTGGTGTTGTCGTTGATGATGTTATTGTTGATGATGTAGTTGTTGTTGTTGATGTAGTTTTTGGTGGTGTTGATGTTGCTGTTGATGATGTTGTGGTGGTTGTTGATGTTATGATTTTTGTGATGGTTGTTGATGATGTTGATGGTGTTGATGTTGTTGACGATGTTATTGTTGATGATGTAGTTGATGTTGTTTTTGTTGTTGTTGATGTTGTTGTTGATGATGCTCTTGATGTTGTTGTTGATGTTGTTGATGTTGTTCTTGTGGTGGTTGTTGATGATGTTATTGTTGTCATGGTTGTTGATGTTGTAGTTGTTGATGATGTTGTTATTGTTGACATGGTTGTTGATGCCATGGTTGTTGATGATGTTGTTGTTGATGATGTTGTTATTGTTGTCATGGTTGTTGATGTTGTAGTTGTTGATGATGTTGTTATTGTTGTGGTGGTTGTTGATGATGTTGTTATTGTGGTCATGGTTGTTGATGTTGTAGTTGTTGATGATGTTGTTATTGTTGTCATGGCTGTTGATGTTGTTGTTGTTGATGATGTTGTTATTGTTGTCATGGTTGTTGATGATGTAGTTGTTGAACTCTGCATTCGGCTTATGACTTTAGTCGGTGAGTGAAACCATGCAGTCCATAGGCTGCTATAACGAGCAGATATCCACTTGGTCTGAGAACATGGGCACCAGTCACCGAGCCTGATCACAGAGTACATCTGTCTCCTCTCACCAGGTTGGGAGGCCTAGTGGTTAAAGCGTTCGCTCGTCACGCCGAACACCCGGGTTCAGGGCACTATGTGTGAGGCCCATTTCTTGTGTCACCCGTAGTGATATTGCTGGAATATTGCTAAAAGCGGCGTAAAACTCACTCACTCACTCACTCCACTCACGAGGAAGTTTTAACTTCGTTGAAGGTTATGATATTGCGGAAACAGTTGATCAGGTACCCAGACTTAATGACTTGGTGGATTACATGTGTATGCCACGCTAACTGTCACTTGATGCTCATTAGATCGATCACAAGATCGCCAAGATATATCATGGATACCGTTGTGCGGCGTTAAACATCAAACAAACACCAGTTATCCTGTCATTTGTATTTTTTGTTGCAGCACTGACGTCCCGGTGGATGAATGACGACCGCTAGAGACATATGACTACGGGACTAGAACAGGCAGCAGCTGGACGCCATCGACCATCACCGGTGGGCCAACTAGATGCGACGTTGTGCTCAGACGCCATGGCGGATCATTACATGTGACGACTCCAGAACATCTGTGGCTCTGTCGGTGACTTTCCTTACATCAGACCCTCACACCAGGCAGACCTAGCAGGCAAACAAACAGGGCTCACCTCACACCAGAACGTCTCACCAGCCACATCTGACAGGCCACTGCACAGGGCTCACCTCACACCAGAACGTCTCACCAGCTACATCTGACAGGCCACTGCACAGGGCTCACCTCACACCAGAACGTCTCACCAGCTACATCTGACAGGCCACTACACAGGGCTCACCTCACACCAGAACGAACGTCTCACCAGCTACATCTGACAGGCCACTACACAGGGCTCACCTCACACCAGAACGTCTCACCAGCTACATCTGACAGGCCACTACACAGGGCTCACCTCACACCAGAACGTCTCACCAGCTACATCTGACAGGCCACTACACAGGGCTCACCTCACACCAGAACGTCTCACCAGCTACATCTGACAGGCCACTACACCGGAAGGGGCATGTCCGAGTGAAGTTCAGAGTTGTTTAAACTCTGTCGAATGAAGTCGCCTACAGAGAGGAAGCGGAGAGGTATGGATAGATCCAACATGGCGGATGGTGAAACTGAGAGTAACCATGGTGACGATGTTTCGAGTATGCAGATACAAGGACTCAGGAGTTTGTTTCTGCTGTTGGTTTTAGCAGTTACAATTCTCGTTGTGTTCTCGTCCCTTGCGGTGCTAAGAAAGCCAAAGCTCAGTCCCAATGTCAATGTGTTTGTGGGCGTGGCAACAGGCAATGACGTTGACGACTCTGCTAGATTAAAACGTGGTGTTGAAATCCCTCTTGTACATACACCTGCCCGAAGGAAAAACTATCGAATACTGTCTCCCAGTCTAAAGGTCATAAAGAGCAGCGAATGCACAAACTCAGCCATGGGCACAACAAAAATGTAACAAAATCTGTCAAAAGAAATGGTACCGAGGGCAGGAACATTACGCACGACCAGGTTGGTATAAAACACGGACTTATAGTCAACCAAACTCACAAACAATCTGAAACTGGTACTCCTCACGACAGAGAGAAGGACAAGCACAACACGAAGCGGGCAGGCCCGGCCACAAAACAGGAAGTGACGTCGTCGGGAAACCCCACACCCAGCAAATACAGCTCACGACATACTTTGAGAGCGCGGGGTGGAATCCATTGACGTGACGCTGGTTCACCCAGTGGGTGCAGTGAATTCACCATCCACCTTGCCTCACCCTGGTGTTGATAACTAGAACTGGGGTATCTGTTTATTTCCTCGACGTAATCAACCACGTGATCCCTTCCCGGAAATACACGTCATGACCATCAGCCCGTATCCCTGACATATTATTTTGTGTGTGGTCGGATTTCACTGCATTATCGGCAGAACATATCGGCGCCACCTGGTAAAACTTTCACCTAGATTTCCACACGATCAAAGTCAGCTGAAATCCTGGTGTGACGTAGATGCACACCACTTGATGGGGCGAACCGGTGATATTGATATCTTACTCATCTCAAGGAGTTTAAACAACAAAGGTTGGGCGATGGAGTAGCCTATTGGTTGAAGTCATCGCTCACCACTCCGAAAACCCAGGTTCGAATCCCCGGGTGGATGTGAAGCCCATTTCTAATGTCCCCGCCGTGATACTGCTGGAATATTACTAAAAGCGGGTAAAACTTTACTAACTCACCAACTTAAATAAGCGGATATGTCCGTGATCTGTTGACCCTTCAGATGTATCAGAAGTTGTGGGGTCTATTTCTTTGTCATCACCTTCTCCCGGCTCGTCACGCCGAAGCCCTGGGTTCGATTCCCCACATGTGTACATTGTCTGAAGCCCATTTCCAGTGTCCCCCGCCGTGATATTGCTGGAATATTGCTAAAAGCGGCATATAACCATACTCACTCACTCACACTCCCGGCTGGCCATTTTTCCCGGACCCTGATGACACTGTATAGTTGGATTCAAACTCACACGCGACAGGTCATGGTGCAACCATAATTTGGAAAACAATACTACATCTGAAAGATATCCCAAATATGTCTGACGAAGAGAAGTTTCCACTCTGGAAACTGATGAGTTTCATCCCAGCTTTCGACCCAACTTCACACATCATTCATCGCACAGACATCACATGGGAGATTGTAGACACCAGGTGCTCACGGTGTCTTTGTGCAATATCGGGAAGATGTGCTGGAATTATCAGCAGTTTATCATCAGTTTCAGCAATACGTGTGTTGATCTCATATATGTATTCAGGGGACAAATGACATGGCATCGTGTAGCTGAATGAAATAACATGTTGATACATGGAGGGTTTGTGAACTTGGTCAGTGTAGGTGGCCACGTGTCCTGCACGTACCAAGGGAGATAACTCATATCTTCACTTCGCCTCGAAGAGCAACGAAACGATGGACGTATGTTGACTGAGGAGATTGCAAGAAATTAATATGTTTGATTACCGTTGTAATAGGGTTCTTAAATTGGATTCCACTCCGTGAGGGCCGAGTTAGTGATGTGATTGGATTACTTTTCGTGTGTTAATAATGTGATAGTGTTTGCCTACTGGGCCTCACTGTGATAAACGAGGGATGTCATCAGCCACGGTATCATCTCATATATGCATGAGGTATTTCTTACCTGGGCTCGTTTCAAAACGAGGACAATTCAAATATGGGTATTTCGTTTCACTTTTAATGTTTTTTATCTTTTATTTTACTCATTGTTAAAAGATATATTTTCTTTGTGATTAACCCTAAATTACAAGCACGAGGGCGCATACTAGACTAATACCGAAGGGTTAGTACGTTGCCGGAAATACCCGACTCAGACACCACGGTGGGCTGACGCTTATATGTATGTATGTATGTATGTATGTATGTATGTATGTATGTATGTGTGTGTGTGTGTGTGTGTGTGTGTGTGTGTGTGTGTGTGTGTGTGTGTGTGTGTGTGTGTGTGTGTGTGCGTGCATGCATGCATGTATGTATACGTTTGCTAGAAACAAATGATCACCTTGAAACTATTAAGAATCGCAAGTGACAGTTAAACTGTCTCACAGTCCACGAACGTGAGGAAATGGAGTCTTGCTTCATTTAGGGCTTTAGCATTGCAGAAAGGACTGAGCGGAAGGCAACATAATGCAGTTCCCTGACTGCGAGACAGACCAATACACGGATTTTGTATGCATCTCACATGAACCTTTAACCTCACGGTAAACTCCGGTCTGCACGTATGAGGGAGTGAGTGAGTTGCGTTTTACGCCGCACTCAACAATATTCCAGCTATATGGCGGCGGTCTGTAAATAATCCAGTCTGGACCAGACAATCCAGCGATCAACAGCATGAGCATCGATCTGCACGTATGAAACAGACCCGTGGAGTATTGAGTCGGGTATCTCCGGTCCGCGTCGCAAACTGTCGGATTTAGCGGATCTATTTTTGAGGGAAATACTCGTTTTGGGTATTGAATAAAATATTTTTTTATACTCAATGTCTTTGTTCTATGGCATACAGTCCAGCTGTATTAACATCACTACCCCAGCTGTATTAACATCACTACCCCAGCTGTATTAACAACACTACCCATGTTGTATATGTTTGATCACATGGCGGTCACGTGGGGGCACTGACTGTCATATCTCGGGAGCTGAGGAGACTGGGATTCTGTATGAACACCAGATATATTTCCTGTTTAAACAATATGGCGACATATAAAGGATATTCCATGATATCTAACATGTATTTCATATCATCACCTCTGAATCCCAAACTCCATGTCCACTACAGTGTCTGAGAGTTATAACAGCCTCCCCACTCAGCCTATAGTCAGGATTGTTTCCGGCAGACAATACCCGTGACAGGAGACGACTAGGTATAGTCCATTTGAGTTCATTTGAGACCGATGAATTGCTCACTAACACAAAATCTAATACATGCAACAAAATCAAACTTTGCACAGTCACATGAAATCGACAGAACTCTGATGATTTGTCTCATAATTTTGGACACCCGAATAAAAAGTTGTTTAACAAACGATCATTATTTTGTGGTCACTTTTCGCTATTTCTTTGAGGGAGGACAACTTGCTGGTAGAACAGCCAGTTGTGCTAGTTGTACGTGTGAAATTGAAATTTCACTACACACGCTTGTTGGTTACCTGGCTGTTCTACCAGCAAGTGGTCCTCCCTCGTAAGAAATAGCGAAAAGTGACAACAAAATAATGATCGTTTGTTAAACAACTTTTTTATTCGGATGTCCAAAATTATGAGACAAATTATCTTAGTTGGTCTGTCGATTTCATGTGACTGTGCAAAGTTTGATTTTGTTGCATGTATTAGATTTTGTGTTAGTGAGCAATTCATCGGTCTCAAATGAAGTCAAACGGACTGTAGTGGGTGGGTTAGCGCTGTGATATGGGAGGGAGGGACCTCGCTGCCATCGGTTGGTGTTCCTACTATCAATCACGGGTTTATCACGTTCATATTTGGATATTAAAATTCCACGTACCGTCACACACCTGGAACATTGCTTGGAGTGACGTAAAACAAGCAAATATCTCATTGAAGTCAATCGGTTGGTCAATGCAGTCAACCCAGCTGCTTGAACCAAACCAACAGTCGTGAACTAGGCCTAGAGTGACCCACACATTATACATGTGAAACACACGTTGGACCGGACACTGGAGATACGTCCGCCTCCTGATCTCACTGGTTCCCTCATTACAACACGTGCAGGAACTGGGGCCACGGTTAGCTTGGCATCTTTGATTGATTTCATGAAACTAACATCCTCACACCATGTGCAATCCTGTAGACTAGTGTGTACGTTTAGGTCTCCACGAACAAAAGAAAAAATACTGAAATCAATCAATATAACGTCAACAGCAGTAACTTCACAGACTGATTTATAATCATCTTCGCAAAAATACAAACCAAAGCTGTCGACGTCGATACCAATGACGTTGTTCAACGATACAAGACAAGCCCCGCCCACTTTACTAACAACCAATGACAGTCGTCCTGGGACTGTACACCACGGATATACTAGCAATTCATATAAGAATTCATATCAATTTTCCGCGAATCAAGCATGGTCTAATAACACTGCGACAGAGGCTTTAGCATTGTGACGTCATAACTGTAACAATTAGGACTTCATATGTCTAGCAGTAATTACACACTGTAAGCATATAGAGGATATTTTGTTGATGTAAAAAAACATGTTTATTACCCACGTGGTCAACGTATGGGTAGTTGCATACAATTCTCGTACATCACACGAGTGTCGTATCGCGTTGACCTGTGTCGTAACGACTTGACCTGCGATTCTAACGATTTGATTTGATAACCGATGACCTCTCAATTAGGTCACATTCTGACGTAACTATTTTTTCATTCATAACAAACCCGTGAATTCATTCATTCTACAACTTAAATTCATTGTGGGAATGTAAACATTTCGAACGTTGCCGTGTCACTGTTTAATTGTGAGTCGAACTGAGACATCATATCCGTAGAAAAAGATAAAAACAATGTTTCCACCAGTGATGTTAGCCGAATGAAGCAACTGGAAACCAAGAAACGAGGTGCTACGGAGTAGTTTACTGTAGGAGGCTGTACGAGGCGATGGCAACTGACATGCATCGTGACGTCGGTTACCAAGGCAGTGACGTCATAACAGTGTGACGTCATGCAAATATTGTACTACAGTACAAAACTCTTCATCGTCTTTATGAAACCGGTTTCGGTTTGAAACCATAAAAATAACAAAAATACGCTATTTTGTCAATTTAAGGCACTGAAGACGTGGGAAATAAATAAAATACCACACTCGGTCTCATTACATACGAATTATACGAAACTCGTGACCTTCCTATGCTATCTCACTCTCCTACCCAGAGTTCCATGTTAAGTCATCGCTGTGCCGGAGTGTGATTTTATCTGACCTCGCTTTCCCTCGGTCAGATACCACAGGAAGGAGACTCGCTTTCCCTCGGTCAGACACCACAGGAAGGACACTCGCTTTCCCTCGGTCAGATACCACAGGAAGGACACTCGATCGTTTCGTATAATTCGTATGTAATGAGACCTCATGTAGTATTCTCTATATATTTCATCGAGTGGTCACGAGATGAAATATACATGTTATTTGGCAACATTAACAAAATATTCTATTTATCATGTTTTGATCATTGTTTATAAATGATCGAGACATCGAGTAAGTCTGCATAGCTCTTTAATCAGAAACTAGTTCCAGATAAAAGTGATATTCTACTCAGTGAAAATACCATTTTATTTTCACCAATATTTACAGTATTTCACCCTTAAGAATATAATAATGCCGCAAAAAATATTACACTGCAGTATCTTCTACGGGCGAGTAATAAAGACACATTATCTTCCACGGGCGAGTAATAACACATTAATAAGATCTGATTAGAATGAAAAGAAGAAGAAAGAAGAATTCAATACGAATACACATGACAACATGCTAAGAACACAACATTATAACAAATGGATCAGTTTGCACTCGACGTTCATCCTCATCTTCCTCGGAATAATACAACCCATCACAGTAACATGTCATCGGATACCCGTTCATTGCTGGCTGCGCAGAAACATATTTCGAACAAAGTCACTTGTCCAAGAAACAGTGCATGTGTGTCCGTGTGGGGCAGAGGTGAAACCTGAGCTGCCGCTGGCAGTCACCATAGACTAATGCTTAGTCTCTGAATATATATAATTTTGATAGTAAGAAACAAGCCCATTTAAATTGAAAAGCAGCCCCAGGGAGACCAGAGATTCCTGAGGAAATCTAGACTTGTTTTATTTAGGGCTTTACCACTGCCGAGAGAGTTGGCAGTTGGAAAATAATGTGGTTCAGGGACTGTGAGACAGACTAGCGGTCACCCATGCTGTTCTCTCCGCCACCGACATTGCTGAAGTTTACAGGACCACGTGACACCAACTAAACACTGCTTATATCACAAGTATAAGAGTTCAAAAAGTCAACAAGTACAGCAAACACAAGATTCTGTTACTCTCACTAAGAAAGAAATGCTTTTCATTATGAGGTCCTACAGCGTGACTAATGTTACAGAGCTCCTCATTGGTCTGTCATAACGAGACTCCACTGTGGTAACACCTCAGTTTACTTCCCGCTTCCAGTTGCCAATCGCTCAGGCTTATAGGTTACACAGCACCAAATGTTTTCCCATTGACTTCAATAGTAACCTTATATGTTTTTAGAATTGTCCAGCCTATCAACAGCCATATCTATTCCATGTACACATGGGTACAATCTGGCCTTTAAACTACAATAAAACACAATATCTGGCCAACTTGTCCGGCTGAACACATCAACCCCAATTCCGCACCAAATGTCACCTACAGGAAAATATCTGTACACACATAAGCATGTCATGGTGATAAAAATGACAGCACTAAATACTTAAGATTGTGGTCAGTTTTAATTACGAGATGGATGTGCTTTCAAAAAACATAAACCTCTCACACTATTTCATCCAATCACAGCTGTCACATGTCTCTGTCTCTTCAGTTGTTTACATACGGTGCTCGCTCAGGTAGCATGTGATTTTGATTTAGCGTAGTGGAACCGAACAGAGACATAACGATGGCGCCAAAACTGGAGTCGGGAATATATATGCACGTGCAGATCAATGTTCACGGGGAAAACGTCATGCTTGATGTTCCGTTACCTTGCAGTATTGTCTCATCTATCATCATCTACACAGTTTACCCGACAGGTCCAACTCTAAGCCCATTTCTAGCTACTTTGATAAGCTTCAAAAGATCCAAAACACTTCCGCCCGCATCATCAGCAAGACTTCTAAACGTTCCCACGTGGCACCCGTGTTGAAAGAACTGCATTGACTACTGGTTAGGGCCAGAGTTGACATTAAGATCCTCTGTCTGACTTACAACTGCCTCCATGGTTTAGCTCCCTCCTCACACTTCTCCGAACTCCTACATCCGTATGTCCCCGCACGCAACTTGCGCTCAAACACACAAAGTCCAGAGTGAAAATACACTTTTTCTCAGCACATTATATAAATTCAACTGTAAACATTCTGTAGCGTTTTGAGCATGCCTTAGGCTGTGGAATAGGCGCATTATAAATATACATTTAAATGAGAATATACAAAAACAAACAAAAACAACAACAGGTACACAGGTTTACCCGACATGTCCGAGCTAACAACTGATACACAGGTTTACCTGACATGTGCGAGCTAACAACCGATACACAGGTTTACCTGACATGTGCGAGCTAACAACAGGTACACAGGTTTACCTGACATGTGCGAGCTAACAACCGATACACAGGTTTACCTGACATGTCCGAGCTAACAACCGATACACAGGTTTACCTGACATGTGCGAGCTAACAACCGATACACAGGTTTACCTGACATGTCCGAGCTAACAACCGATACACAGGTTTACCTGACATGTCCGAGCTAACAACTGATACACAGGTTTACCTGACAGGTCCGAGCTAACAACTGATACACAGGTTTACCTGACAGGTCCGAGCTAACAACTGGTACACAGGTTTACCTGACATGTCCGAGCTAAGAACTGATACACAGGTTTACCTGACATGTGCGAGCTAACAACCGATACACAGGTTTACCTGACATGTCCGAGCTAACAACTGATACACAGGTTTACCTGACAGGTCCGAGCTAACAACAGGTACACAGGTTTACCTGACAGGTCCGAGCTAACAACTGATACACAGGTTTACCTGACAGGTCCGAGCTAACAACCGATACACAGGTTTACCTGACAGGTCCGAGCTAACAACTGATACACAGGTTTACCTGACAGGTCCGAGCTAACAACAGGTACACAGATTTACATGACATGTCCGAGCTAACAACTGATACACAGGTTTACCTGACAGGTCCGAGCTAACAACTGATACACAGGTTTACATGACATGTCCGAGCTAACAACTGATAAACAGGTTTACATGACATGTCTGAGCTAACAACTGATACACAGGTTTACCTGACAGGTCCGAGCTAACAACTGATAGACAGGTTTACCTGACAGGTCCGAACTAACAACTGACACACAGGTGTACCTGACAGGTCCGAGCTAACAACTGATACACAGGTTTATCTGACAGGTGCAAGGTATCAACTGGTACACAGGTTTACCTAACAGGTGCAAGGTAACAACTGATACACAGGTGTACCTGACAGGTGCAAGGTAACAACTGATACATAGGTTTACCTGACAGGTGCAAGGTAACAAGTGATACACAGGTTTACCCGACAGGTGCAAGGTAACAACTGATACACAGGTTTACCTGACAGGTCCGAGCTAACAACTGATACACCGGTTTATCTGACAGGTGCAAGGTATCAACTGGTACACAGGTTTACCTAACAGGTGCAAGGTAACAACTGATACACAGGTGTACCTGACAGGTGCAAGGTAACAACTGATACATAGGTTTACCTGACAGGTGCAAGGTAACAAGTGATACACAGGTTTACCCGACAGGTGCAAGATAACAACTGATACACAGGTTTATCTGACAGGTGCAAGGTATCAACTGGTACATAGGTTTACCTGACAGGTGCAAGGTAACAAGTGATACACAGGTTTACCCAGGTGCAAGGTAACAACTGACACAGGTTTACCTGACAGGTAACAACTGATACACAGGTTTACCCGACAGGTGCAATGTAACAACTGATACACAGGTTTACCCGACAGGTGCAAGGTATCAACTGATACACAGGTTTACCTGACAGGTGCAAGGTAACAACTGATACACAGGTTTACCTGACAGGTGCAAGGTAACAACTGATACACAGGTTTACCCGACAGGTGCAAGGTAACAACTGATACACAGGTTTACCCGACAGGTGCAAGGTAACAACTGATACACAGGTTTACCCGACAGGTGCAAGGTAACAACTGATACACAGGTTTACCCGACAGGTGCAAGGTAACAACTGATACACAGGTTTACCTGACAGGTGCAAGGTAACAACTGATACACAGGTTTACCCGACAGGTGCAAGGTAACAACTGATACACAGGTTTACCCGACAGGTGCAAGGTAACAACTGATACACAGGTTTACCCGACAGGTGCAAGGTAACAACTGGTACACAGGTTTACCCGACAGGTGCAAGGTAACAACTGATACACAGGTTTACCCGACAGGTGCAAGGTAACAACTGATACACAGGTTTACCCGACAGGTGCAAGGTAACAACTGATACACAGGTTTTCCCTGACAGGTGCAAGGTAACAACTGATACACAGGTTTACCCGACAGGTGCAAGGTAACAACTGATACACAGGTTTACCCGACAGGTGCAAGGAAACAACTGATACACAGGTTTACCCGACAGGTGCAAGGTAACAACTGATACACAGGTTTACCTGACAGGTGCAAGGTAACAACTGATACACAGGTTTTCCCTGACAGGTGCAAGGTAACAACTGATACACAGGTTTACCCGACAGGTGCAAGGTAACAACTGATACACAGGTTTACCCGACAGGTGCAAGGTAACAACTGATACACATGCTTACCTGACAAGTGCAAGGTAACAACTGATACACAGGTTTACCCGACAGGTGCAAGGTAACAACTGATACACAAGTTTACCCGACAGGTGCAAGGTAACAACTGATACACAGGTTTATGTGACAGGTGCAAGCACTCAAGTCTCAATGAGTACTCTTTATTTTCAGATTGTCAGGGTGTGTTCGAGGAACTGTCAGATTGATAGTAAACAGTGGGCCCCGAAATCAGCCCCAGATGATTCACCTACAGCCTAATTACGACCCAAGCACCCCAAACGAACAAAAGGACCAAATATGGCGCAGCGAGTTGGATAATGTCGAAAAGCCTTCATGGTCAACCATTTGACAAGGACACACTCAGTTCAAACACGCGGATTTCCGCTTCGCTGAAAGACTTGGCATTCCCAACAGCAAGCTTGGTCTCGCTGACGCACAGGCAACATGGGGATGTGATACCATGGGTCGCATTCAACACTTCCAGGATGTCTTCCTGGCCGGAGATACCGCACCGGACGACCTTTCCCTGTTTCCTGTCGGCAATGAACACTGTCCCGTAGTCGTCGCAGTCAATGCTGCAGGAGGAGCTGAGACTGCTCAGATCGATGTAGTTAAGGAACTTTGTATCACTACTGAAGATAACAAGGCGACGCTTCTCACCATCGTACAGGATTATCTCCCCTTGTGGACCACTTGCAAGGTCAGTGACGGTGCTGAAGCGACCCGACTCCTCGTTCCTGTTTCCTTGCAGGTTGAAAGGCCGCTTGCTCTGGCGGTCGATGCCTGTGAGGCACGTCTTGTCCTTGTCGAAGAGAACCATTACACCATCAAGATGAAAGGCCAGAGCACCGATGTTGGCTGCCCGACAACTGATCTTTTGGGTTGTGCACGATGCTTCCCTCTCTGACGGGACCTCCTTGAGGAACAGCCGGCTCACGTTGCAGTCGTCCTCAAGCACTACGCCACACTCGTGTTCTCGGTACATAGCAAAAGCAGCGATGCCTTTTCTCCGATGGTACACAACCTGATGCTTGTCGACGATGGTGCACATCACGACCTGGCCCATGGTATTGGTGTTGTAAGCGTAGACCACTTCATCATTCGGCATCAGTCCCAAGCCGACCAGCTTGAACGGGATGCTGTCCACACCGCTCTCCAGCACGTAGCTGGACAGCAGCGCGGGGGACCCTACAATATATGCCTTCCTCTCGGTCTCATCTTTCATCACCATTGGGACAGGTAGAGGTTCCGGCTGTTCTGGTCTCCTCCTCCGCTCAACCACCTCATCTCCCCCCTCATCTCCCCCCTCGTCTCCCCCCTCGTTGTACACGTGGGACTTTAGGAGGTCAATATCCGTTAAGGAACCACGTTCTGGCAAAGTGATGTCTCCTAACTCAATACAGTTTCCTTCTCTGTTGAAGGTGTATTCGTGGATGGCAAAACTTGTGTCCGCAGCACAGGACAAATCATCTGTTTCCTTCAGCTTCACCTCCACCTCATGTCTCTTGTTGTAGAAGTCGGATATAGTTATACCCTGTATCGCTGCCTCAACGTCAGTCAGGGTAGCATCTAGCAAAGAAGATTTCTCTTCCGTTGAGCGATCGTGCAGGTCAAGCATCCTGATGTTGTTGTCATGGAGATTCTGGATCCTCTTCTGTAAATCCTGTTGCTTCTCTCGTATTCTCCGCACAGCGTCATCTGCTGTGGAGTCTACCATGCCTTTCTGTAGAGCATAGTTATCTACCGCTGACTGCCGCAACCTATCGATCGTGTCCTGATCTCCTGAAACTTTCTTCTTCATGTCCTTCAGTGTGAGAAGTTTGCCTTTAACGACCTTCATTAACTCATTCTTTGCTTCCTCAAGGGGGATAACTCTGTGCGGAGCATCAGAGTGGGAGCAGGTGGCACACAGTGGACACACCTCGGTCATGCAGTGGGAGCAGAAGCAGTTGATCGTCTTCCCAGGGTGGATCTTACACTTCGCTGTGGGGATATTGTCCAGGTTTTCTGTGACGTCATGGCTGGTGAACACCTCCAGGTGCTTCTTCCCACACCTGCCACACAGGTAGTCCTGGCAAGTCTGGCAGAACACGCCGACCGTTGTCGCGGAGCTGCAGGCGACACATTGAGTGTCCGTATGGATCGCTCTCGCCTCGTCCACTGCCGACTTCACCTGCATCAGAGAGATTTGGTTCAGTTGTAGATAACAATGGATGAGTTTATTTAAATATCCCGAGTTACTAGAACACTACGATATATAGAATCTCAAACTTGTGAGTGAGTGAGTGAGTCAATATTTAACGTCACATCGGCAGTATTTCAGCCATACCGTGACGAAAACAATCTATCAATTAAACCACAATAAATATATACCATATAAACCTGTCGTCGAAGGACAGTAAAAATACAAGAATATTACAGATTTGGTTTAAAACTTGTTTGTTGTACTAAAATCTATTACTGCAGAAAACAATATAAAATAAAAACATGCAACTGAAGTGAGATCACCACCCACCAGGGACCTCAAAATTGTGTCTTTAGATAACAAATATATCAATACTCATGGAAACTTATATACAATCGAACCCCAATGTTTCGAACTTGGTTCAGACGAATTCTCGCTTGTGTCGAACTCACCTCTCGGACCCTGCTGATTTTCTTATATCGATCGTTATTTTTACCCTAATGCCTCGAACTAGATGTGTCGAACTCATTTTCGGGTCCCCAAAATTACTAATAATTTACTCTTTTGTCTCAAACTCTCATTGTTATGCTGACGGATGTGTCGAACACTTGGATAAGTCGAACTTTTCCGTTGGTCCCGGCGAGGTCGACACAATGGGGGTTGACTATATATTTGACACTTGTCTTGTTTACTCACACAATTGTTGTTGTTCGTTGTTTAGCGAGTAAGTTCTAACTATAACGCGGCCGCCTTTAATATTCGAGTTAGGTTTGGACTTACTTGAAACACTTCAATGTAATTCTATTCATTCTAGGGCGTAAAAATAACTAAAAAGGCATGGTATATAACTGGTTGTCGGTAAAGTATTATTTCAGGTGTCAGGAAGACAGTATGGGGATACAGGGGAAGTTACTGGATGATGGAAGGATGCTACTTGTGAGACAATGTCAACTGGCAGTGGGTGAGTGGGGAACGCCCGAATGAATAAGTACTGTGAGGTGAAACGGGGTATATCGTCGTTCTTAAAAATATTTCGCTCATATGACGACGTGTGTGTGGCTGCTTGTACTAGCCCAGACTATCCTGGTTTATAGTTAAGCATAAATACCCCACTCAGACACATTATACTGACTCCGAGCCGACCAGTCCTTGTTGTACCCATTAATGCCGAACGCCAGCCATGGACCAACAAGTATCATGCTTTTGGTATGACGTGGCCGTGGATCGAACCCGCGACCTTCCGCTTTCCGGATGGACGCTCTACCCACTACACCACAGAGGCGTCTCCAATATTGCAAGAATACCATGATGGGACAACAGAATGGGCTCCACACAAAATGGCTATCGAACCATAAACTGCCTCCAGCTCACCTGAACGGCCAGGTAGTTTACGGGCAACTTCTCTACTCCTCCCTTCGGGATTTTCAACCCCTTATTGCAGATTGGGCACTTCCGGTCTTGGGATCTGGCGCCGCTATGGAACACGTGGCTCTGGAGACAGGCCTGGCAGAAGGTGTGGCCACAGTCAGTGATACGTGGATGGGTCAGGGGCTCCTTGCAGATCGGACAGTCCAGGTGGGAGGGCATAGCCAGGTTAGCCGCCATGGTATATTTCTGAAATACAACCACAATATATAAATATACACAAGCTACGTTCATGACGGTGAAACAGGATTATTGTTGGAAGTTTGTAAACCCGTGCTCGTGGATTTCACAACCGAAGTTGAGTGCGTCCAGAATGTAATTAATGAACAAGAATCAGCTCTGAAACGTCGTGTAAAGAATAAAAGAGAAGTTGTTATCCATAAAACGTGTCATGTGTTCAAATAGTTATTAAAGACCAGATTTTAGGATATTTCCAAGAAATCAAAAGCCATGCTATGTAGATATCAGTTCTGACCCAATGATGTGATATTTGACTGAGATTTTAATGATTTTCAACGTCACCCATGTTGTTTACAGATAGTAGTAAGTGAGTTTTGTTTTAAGCCGCTTTGAGCAATATTCCACCAATATCACGGCGGGGTACACCAGAGATAGGCATCACGCAATGCAACAATCTACGGTTTAACGAGAAACGTTTTAACCACTAGGCTACCCAACCGCCCCAAATACAGCCAGGACCTCAAGGAAGTTACTGGTTCCAAGTGATATGCTGCGCTACGCTTCAACATTGATCCCGGTAATGACTACTAATGGTGGTGTTCAATAGTCTATCTTTGTCTTGCTTTGTTTTGGTTTTGTTTTGGTTTGTTTTGTTTTTTGAGGTTTTGTCTTTTTTTTTTGTTTCTCAATAGAAAAAGTTATTCCCGTTCAATCTCTGGGAGCAGCAACTCAACTTCTTGATCGTCTTTCCTCTTCGATATGGGCGAGTGGCAGATTTTGCCCAGCCTGCTCTGAAACAGTCCACCCACCAAACGTAGGCGTTCTATTCTGCCGGCATCTCGAACCTTTTCTCGTATCCTGTAGCCATACACCGGAATTGTTTTTTCTCCAGTCGATGGCGAATCCAGTAGCAGCAACAATCGGTTCTTCCCTTCGTATTTCGCTATGGCGAACTTTTGGCACGTGTAGATTCCTTCCGGGATGTCTGTGGCTTTTCGGTGTTCGCTGCATGGAGGGGCTGCCACGTCCATATCCTTGGGTCCGCCGTAGTTGGGCAAAGGGGTAGTATGCCGTCCGTGCCCTCATGGCGGGTCTGTTTGTCCCGATAGCTGCCGGAAGATACAAGACTCTTTCTCGCTGCAAGGACAATTGGCAGAAGAGGCAGTCGTCGTCATACAGGTTCTCTATGTTCGAGAGAAAGTAGTGGATTTAATTCGAGTGCACCTTTGCAGACGGTGAAACAACACGAGAGTGGTCAAAACCCCATCGACATACTGTTGTTTTTCTTCGCTGGACTCCATTTTTACTTTCCGTATACCTGTCTTGGGGTTGGATGGGAATGCGAAAAAAAGGAAAAAACAATGACAACAAGAAGTGTCCCTATATACTAAAATGTTGAGTGGAGGTGCACCTTTTGGTCTTTTCCCCATTCTTTAACATAGGATTTTGCTGTGCGGTCCCGTAGCCCCATTGTGTATACTACTATTATGTATTCTGTCCAGTTGATTTGGTGACTGGGGTTGGTCTGAATATGTTATGAGATTGCTGATTTGTTGCCGGAATTGTTTGTTGACGCATGAGACTGGCTTATGTAGCAAATATGCTTTCGTGGGAAGTGCATGTTAATTTTGGGAACCACTGATAATTGTAATCAGTATTGCATATGGATTAAAAAAAAAACATGGTTCCATTTTTTTCTAATGATTATAAGTGTCATTCTTGGGTAACTGAACATCGATACCCATACTCGAGGTGCAACACTAATGTGAGAAAAACATATTTTTATAAACCTATCAAAACATAGGCATGTAGTATGTCAAAATGTACCTTGTGATGGGTGTTTTACAACTACCATTATATAGATCCATCATGAATTTCCAATATATATATATATATATATGTGTGTGTGTGTGCATAACAATTACTATGATCGTAACTGCCTCTGCCAAAACCGAAGGTTTGTTGCAGAGGGTATGTATTCAACCATGATTGTGTGTGTGGATTTATATGTTAGGAACTTTACTAAAAAACTACGAGATAGATTTCAATAAAACTTACTGGATCTCTTGAGTATGTCCCCAGGGCAAATCAATTAGATTTTGAAGAAAGTATACTCTTAAAAAAAGAAACGCAAAAATTGGTCATATTCAGTTTTATGTAACTCAACGAAAATATGCGATACAGCATTGAAATTATGTAGAGCAAAACATTGGTATCTCGTGCACATTTCACAAGAATAGCCATTACTGCTGTCCACAAGGTGACGTTGACGTTACCACCTTGTATGACCATCTCTTACTGCTAGAACTGCACGAAACCTCCTTTACACAGATCGAATCAGTTGTTGGATGTTTCACTGTGGAATCCTTCTCCATTCCTGCTGCAGCATGTTGAACAACTGTTAAAAGGTCAATGGTTGATTACGACGTTGGCATACACATTTATCGATCTGATCACACAGAAAGCCAACTGGTTTCAGATCCGGGGATCAGGAGGGCCAAGGGAGGACATTGACGTTGTTGTTGTTGGCGAGGTAGTCAACTGTAGCACGTGCTGTTTGAGGTCTGGAGCGGCCGTTAGATTGTCTTGGACGTTGAGCACCAATGCCGATCTGTAGATGTATGAGATGGCTCCTAACACCATGATGCAATCTCCACCAAATCAGTCCACTTGCCTTATGCAGTTTGGTGCAAAATGTTCATTGCTTTGCTTGGTCTGTAGACACGGTGTCTTCCGTCACGTCGCTTGATGGGAAACCACGATTCATCACTGAACACATGTGCCCCCAGTTTCCAAGGTGCATTGTTGCACCGTGTTACACCACCTGACTCGCGGACGTTGATGTAATCGTGTCAGAAAGGGGGCAACTTCTGGACGTCTGGCACGCCTACCTGCCTCTCAAAGACGGTTCCTGATGGTCTGGTCGGGCATTCTCTGGGCCCCAAACCATTCTTGTGCTGTGTCCCGGGAAGAACGATGGCAGTTGGTTTGGTGAATCTTGGCTTAGTGAATATCGTCTTATTGAATATCGTCTTAGTGAATATCAGCTTGGTGAATATCGATTTGGTGAATATTGGCTTGGTGAATATTGGCTTGGTGAATATCAGCTTAAAAGATATCAGTTTGGTGAATATCAGCTTGATGAATATCAGCTTGGTGAATATTGGCTTGGTGAATATCGTCTTGGTGAATATTGGTGGGTTACCCGGATGTCGCGGTCTTGGGCCGGTGTGGTGACCCGCGGTCTTCCTGATCTTGGATGGCCATTTGTCGAACTTGAATGCACAAAACAATTCATCAAACGAGTTATTGTGCTGGAATGAACGCTGAATGTCCTCACCACGACACCCACGAGCTTATAATTGTCGAATAGCAATAATTCGGTCGGCACCGTGGAGACGCCCCTTTTTCTCATCCAGTGCTCGCAAAGGTCTTGGACGAATTTGCGAGATGCATTTGGGTCTTTAATAGTGTTAGGTTGTACTCATGCTTTGCACATGAAAAGCAATAATTGAGGCTTTTGGTTGTGTTCCATACCAGTCAAGCTCTTCATGACAATCATGATCGATAAAACCATTCAAAATCGTTTATGTTTGTAGTCGCTCCCGCATGTTCTTCTAACCATACCAACAACAATATTCAACCTTCAAATCATGTTTAATTTGACATATGCGTACAAACTTTCAATCATTATTTTCAAATTGTATTTTGCGTTTCTTTTATTTGAAGAGTGGATGTTAAAGTATATGTACACAGAGGTACAGAGGCAATGTTAAATAAATGGGGAATATCAATACTATCTCAAAAACTTATGGATGGATTTGAATGAATCTTGGTAGTTATGTTAGGTATGATCCAAGGACTACGTGCGTATGGTTTAGGGAAAGTACATTAAAGTACAAGTACACAGTAGTATTTTAAAAAAAATTAATAATGAATGGAGATTGCTGTGCAAGGCGGAGGCATGTTCTCTAATCCTAAATGATAAAACCTTGTGAAAGTTAAAATAAATATACTAGTACACATTATATATCGCTCTTGCATACCCCACTTGTAATATACTTCCTTTCAAAATATGTATATATATATGGTTACATCGAAGATTGATTTCACTACCAACTTGGGGAACCAACTGCAAACCTTATGCAAATGAAATTCACCAGGATCATGCATTAAACTGCTGAAAAGCATGTGTAAGTATCGTGCATGTGAACAGCTGCGGTTTTGTATAAAATGTTGTCAATAATTTGCCAATTTTCACTGATTTTTGTCATTTATTGAACTCATGACAATAATCTTTTCAACGTTAGTAATTCGTTTTACAATACATCAGTTCATGTGTAAACAGTACCTTCATACAGTTAGGACTATTTTGCAAAACTTAGTTTAGAACTGTTGCCTGAGGTAAGTGGCTGCATTTACATTACTTTTGAAAGGAAGTATATGTAGATATCTGTTCACTGTGATATAAGTTGTCACTTCTGTATTAATACATTTAGTTTACACTGCCTGCAGATTTGGCTTTATGTCATTTGTCATTTAATTACCCAGACACGAGTGTCAGTGTGTCAATTCTGCCTGTACTGGTAGGCCTGAGTTGACACTTGTACATGACTATATGATAGTCACATGAACCTTACCTGGGTACTATTTTTACTACTTAAGTGTGTCATAGTAGTATATATTTTGAAATGGGAGAATACATTCATTGAATAAATGGTTTCCGTTAACATAGGCCAATGCTTACAATGTTGGTGTGCGATGAAGAAAATACAATATTTGATTAATATATATATGATTATGTCAAATTTTATGTTACCAAATTAAAATGAGAATCATACTATATGGTTATTCCTATGTCATACCTCATAAGCTGCATTCTGATATGCTACATGACTATGTTGTGATAGGTTTACGAACATATTTTTTGTCTGTGGTGTTGCAAGCAGTTTTGGGAACTCATATTCAATCACCCCACAATGACACTTACAGCAAACAGAAAAAATGGAACCATGTTTTTTTCTGAATCCATATACTGACTGACTGACTGACTGACTGACTGAGTTTGGTTTTACGCCGCTTTTAGCAATATTCCAGCAACATCACGGCGGGGGACACCAGAAATGGGCTTCACACATTGTACCCATGTGGGGATTCGAACCCGAGTCTTCGGCGTGACAAGCCAACGCTGTAACCACTAGGCTACCCCACCGCCCCGAATCCATATACAACAGTGATTACAATTAGTATTGGTTCCAACAATTAACATGTAATTCCCACGGATATTTACATAACCCCCTACACTACCTGGTACTCTGTCAATCTGTTGCTGATTGGCCTTGATGTTTCATGTTGGTTTAACCCTAAGTTAGATAAACTGCACAGGTAACACTGAGTCTAAAGAGTAGACATATGACACATTTCGTTGTAACGCGCCACAAGGTAGACATGACTCATGATTATACTCAGGTGTGCGTTTATCTCGACTTAACAAAACAATGACGACATTTCCCTGTGACATTTTGATTCGGGTCAGTGTACGGGGATTGTGTTTGTGTGCATGTTATATATAGACACGCACAACCCGCATTGCTCTCAGCTGTAAGTCGATCTTGTGCTGCTCAACGGAAACGTGATGAATATTAGCTTGGTGAATATTGGCTTAGTGAATATTGGTTTGGTGAATATTGGTTTGGTGAATATTGGCTTGGTGAATATCGTCTTAGTGAATATTGGTTTGGTGAATATTGGTTTGGTGAATATTGGCTTAGTGAATATCGTCTTAGTGAATATTGGTTTGGTGAATATTGGCTTGGTGAATATTGGCTTGGTGAATATCAGCTTAAAAGATATCGGTTTGGTGAATATATCTTTTAAGATGAATATCAGCATGGTGAATATTGGCTTGGTGAATATCGTCTTGGTGAATATTGGCTTGGTGAATATTGGCTTGGTGAATATCAGCTTAAAAGATATCGGTTTGGTGAATATATCTTTTAAGATGAATATCAGCTTGGTGAATATTGGCTTGTGAATATCGTCTTGGTGAATATTGGCTTGGTGAATATTGGCTTGGTGAATATCGGCTTGGTGAATATTTGCTTGGTGAATATTGGCTTGGTGAATATCAGCTTGGTGAATATCGGCTTTGTGAATATTGGCTTGGTGAATATTGGCTTCGTGAATCTTGGGTTTGTGAATATTGTCTTGGTGAATTTTGGCTTGGAGAATATCCCAAACTGCAAGGGTGTTTGGGCAAACTGTGAGGCATATACCGTGAAAAGATTCAGGGGAGCAGAGAGACGTGGCAGGTCTGAACACCGAAGACGAGCGTCAGTGACGTCACGACAAGATGACAGACGGACCAACGTTTTCCGTTCCATTTACATATGACTGAAATTATTGGTGTCGATGGTGCGGTATGTCAGTGCTACATTTCGTGACTTGTTTCTGCTCTGGTATACAGGCAGCCCACCAAACACGTAGCTACTACCATCCAGTCTAGCGGTGGTGTACAGGTAGTACACCAAACACCTAGCTACTACCATCCGGTCTAGCGGTGGTGTACAGGTAGTACACCAAACACCTAGCTAATACCATCCAATCTAGCGGTGGTGTACAGGTAGTACACCAAACACGTAGCTACTACCATCCAGTCTAGCGGTGGTGTACAGGTAGTACACCAAACACCTAGCTAATACCATCCGGTCTATGCTAGTTCATGGACACGGGTCATCGTGCTACAGCTAAGTTAGTTCATGGATAGACGGGTTATCGTACTACAGCTCAATTAGTTCATGGACACGGGTCATCGTGCTACAGCTAAATTAGTTCATGGATACACGGGTCATTGTGCTACAGCTAAATTAGTTCAAGGATACATGGGTCATCGTGCTACAGCTAAATTAGTTCATGGATACACGGGTCATTGTACTACAGCTAAATTAGTTCAAGGATACATGGGTCATCGTGCTACAGCTAAATTAGTTCATGGATACACGGGTCATTGTACTACAGCTAAATTAGTTCATGGACACGGGTCATCGTGCTACAGCTAAATTAGTTCATGGATACACGGGTCATTGTACTACAGCTAAATTAGTTCATGGACACGGGTCATCGTGCTACAGCTAAATTAGTTCATGGATACACGGGTCATTGTACTACAGCTAAATTAGTTCATGGACACTGGTCATCGTTCTACAGCTAAATTAGTTCATGGACACGGGTCATCGTGCTACAGCTAAATTAGTTCATGGATACACCCTGACTCTGAGGGTGTTGGTTCGAATCCGGGATGGGACTCAACTAGAAAAGTACTAGAATTTGTACTTTACTAAGAAAGTGTAATCCCAAATATAACATATTTATAACTATATGTTTATTCATGGACACATAGGCCATGGTGCTATAACTACATTAGTTCACTTGATAAATGGATCATCGTGTCATAACTATGTATACATTCATCGACACATAGGCCATGGTGCTATAACTACATTTGTTCACGGATAAATGGGTCATCGTGTCATAACTATGTATTTTTCATGGACACATAGGCCATGGTGCTATAACTACACTAGTTCACGGATAAATGGGTCATCGTGTCATAACTATGCATTTTTCATGGACACATAGGCCATGGTGCTATAACTACACTAGTTCACGGATAAATGGGTCATCGTGTCATAACTATGCATTTTCATGGACACATAGGCCATGGTGCTATAACTACATTAGTTCACGGATAAATGGGTCATCGTGTCATAACTATGCATTTTCATGGACATACATTAGTTCACGGATAAATGGGTCATCGTGTCATAACTATGTATTTATTCATGGACACATAGGCCATGGTGCTATAACTACATTAGTTCACGGATAAATGGGTCATCGTGTCATAACTATGTATTTTTCATGGACACATAGGCCATGGTGCTATAACTACATTAGTTCACGGATAAATGGGTCATCGTGTCATAACTATGTATTTATTCATGGACACAGAGGCCATGGTGCTATAACTATGTTAGTTAATAGATAAATGGTCCTCATGCTATAACCTATTAGTTCATGGCTACCCGGGTCCTCGTGCTATAACTAATTGAGTTCATGGATATATGGGTAATCGTTCTATTACTATATTAATTCATGTATAACTGGGTCATAGAGCTATGACTGTATATGTTCATTGATATGTGGGTCATAGTTCTATAACTTGTTTAGTTCATGTTTACATGCGTAATCGTGCTATAACTATATTTGTTCATGGCTACATGGGTCCTCGTGCTATAACTATATTAGTTCATTGATAAATGGGTAATCGTGCTATAACCGTATTAATTCATGGCTACATGGGTCCTCGTTCTATAACTATATTAGTTCATGGCTACATGGGTCCTCTTGCTATAACTATATTAGTTCATTGATAAATGGGTAATCTTGCTCTAACTATATTAGTTCATGGCTACATGGGTCATCGTTCTATAACTATATTAGTTCATGGCTACATGGTTCCTTGTTCTATAACTATATTAGTTCATGGCTACATGGGTCCTCGTGCTATAACTGTATTAGTTCATGGCTACATGGGTCATCGTGCTATAACTATATTAGTTTGGGGCACAGCTATGTTTTATTACACCTCGGGGCGGTGGGGAAACATTTCCTACCCATAAAGGAATCAGCACGTGGGGTGTACCATGTTCTGGAATGTTTATGGAAATTGCAATATTGTTGTATATTGCTTCTAACTGGTCGCCATTGCTTCTCGTTCGTGGCATTTGTTAATAGGGATTCGTATGCTTAGTACCACATATTTGTAAATAGACATAATTTTCAGTAAATTATACCATGCACTAAAACAAGTGCTCGTCATGTGAGCGGTGTCATCATATTGCCATTTACTGTAGAACGATGTGACCTACCTGCAGGTAACGACGCTGTCCCTTACTGACATACTGTCACAGTACACACGTACCTGTTCCTGACCCCTTCTATACCGTCACCGGAGGGTCCGGACGCTAAGACAATCGTCACATTCAGTTGATCATTTCTCTGTGTGGACAAACGTGGCGAGTCGAGGATCAAACAACTGTCCACCGCCATGAAAACATATACAGTATTTCATGGCGAAATAACGATATGGGGAATCCCCTGTACGAGTTGCGCTGCGCATGCTCATGATTGCTGAGCTGACAACTGGCCGCCTTTGTTCAGGGCAGTTGAAGTAACCTATAATCGATGCGGACGGTGCACAAGTCGCATGCAAGACGTCGATAACGGTGCACTGGCCAACTTGTCTGTGTGCGTGTGTGTGTGTGTGTGCTTGCGTGTGTGTGTGGTGTAAACGTAGTGTGTGTGTGTGTGGTGTAGACGTGATGTACGTTGATTTGAATCAATGAATCGTCTGACCACGAATTAATGTTCTGCAACAGATCTGCACAGAGAAAAAACCGTTAACGGTTCTGTCAGAGAGCAATAGGTGTATATGCGCATGACAGCGTTATGTAGGCAGCCTAGTGGTTAAAGCGTTCGCTCGTCACGTCAGAACCGGGTTCGATTCCTCACATAGGTACAATGTGTTAAACCCTTTTCTGGTGATATTGCTGGAATATATTGTTAAAAGCGGCATAAAACTATACCCTCTCACTTCCAAAAGATCGGTTGTAACGAATGAGTGCAGTTGTGCCTACACATGCTGAAAGATCAAATATATTCTGCTTGACTTTTCAATTGCAAGGGATTATCATCGTTAACTGTTAACTATCTATCAGCGGTGGCTGAGCGGTCTGGGCGTCTGTCTTTGTGTGCTGGCGATTAGGTGCCTGACTCTGAAGGTGCGGGTTCGAATCCCGGATGGGACTCAACCCAAAAAGTACTAGAATTTGTACTTTACTAAGAAAGTGCAATCCCAAATATAACATATGTTATATCTGAAGGAAGTTGACCTGTATCATAAATTGTCACTGCAATGTGAATGATGAATAATTGCTTACATTTGAATTTGGTGCTATGATATTTCTGTATGCAAATAATGATGTAATGAATATATATATTCATTCTCAAAATTCGTGCATACTTCATGATGGCAAAAAATTGTAAATTTTGTTTTCTTGTTTTCCTTTGAGATGTTGTTGATTACGTTCATAATATTCTGAATATAAAAAACATAAATTATGCAAGCATCATTTTTCATATTTTAACCCTTTCATTAGTAATTTCATGACATTGCGTCACTTCCGTAACAAAATTTGTGACGTCAGTTTGAAAAGAAAAAATCCAAAGATGATATTTAGTTAAAGGTCACATGCAACCAAAAAATCAAACATAATTAAAACACAATTATCACTTATTCATGACATATGATATACATTTATTGCTGATTATGAGAAACATATAAACAAAATTATAAGCGTACAATCACAAATCAAAAGTGCAATATTTTGTACTTATGTTTACTTCCCAAGAAACGAAGCAGCCGGGATACCGAACCCAGTCAGAGCGGGTGGGTGTGCATTTAAGTGTAACGGCTGGTTCATTTGCAGATGCTCTCGCGGCTCATTGTGGGTGTATATATAGCGATGTTGGGTTTTGGAAATACATGCTCATTTTTTGTGTCTAACATTTTGCAATCAACAGACATCATAACATGTCATGTGTACAAGTATCACACCTGCCTGTCTGTGTAATGTGACAGAGACCAAACTCAATCAATGCGTTTTGTTTATGGTGTATAGCCTGATTGGTGTTAAGTTCAAATTGCATGTGGTCAGTGATCGAAGTTGTGTATTGAATATTGTCATTAGCAGACAGGCAGGCAGACACGCAGGTGTCAATAAAACAGACATTGAGTTTTGTCTGTGACAACGACATATCTATATCACAGTTAGAAATTCTGTCAACGCTAAATAATGACATTGCTTTTAAGTGTCCAACTGAGAAAGTGACTCGGTAAGGAGAACGTGTGGTGAAATAGATAAATGAAATTATGTAAACAGTTAAATCGGTAATCTACTGTCATAACATTATAAAAAGCTCGCGCCTGTGAAATATCAACAAAACAGCTCACACCAAAGCCTTCAACGAGTATTCACCAGGACAACCCGCTTCCAAGTGCGCGAACCTATTTCACTGCGCATGTGCTATGAGCGCAGCCCAGCTGTTGAAACCAGTTTTCCCCGCTGGGGGAAAATTAGTGAATGGTTTGAACTCCGATTTCGCGCGTGGTTTTTTTTCATCGCGTTATTTTTCAACTTTATAAGTTGAATTTGCATTTTTGATGATTTGTTTCGGTAAGTGCATACCGAAAGGTATCAGAATCTGCAAAGTTGTGTTTTACGTTGCAAGTGACCTTTAATGTACATATATATATATATTAAAATATTTAGTTTTGCCAAGTAAAGAACATGGCTAACGAGTTTTGAAATTATATGGGCCAACAAGCCACAAAAATTCTTTCATTTCTGATTTGCAAATGTAAAGTAATATGTAGTGAAAAATTCAAAATGAGAACATGCTTACTTGAAGCTCTACCACCAAACATACTTGCACTACAAAATCCAGACATAAACAGATAAATCAAATTTAATTAAATAAGGAAAATGATAATGTTATGGCATGGACGTTGGCATTAATTGTTACGGTAGTGACACAATACCGGTAGTGACAGTTTTAATAATAGTCAGTTTTAAATGTTTACTTTAAAAGATGATTTATTGAAATTTGTCAACATATTTAAGAATGTTTGAAGAACAGGTAATAGGTAATAGGCAATACTGATAGGTAATACTGATGGATGTCCCTGTAATGTAAAAAAACAGGTAAAGACTGCATGTTACGGCCCTATTACAGCCGTTTTCTTCTTTGTCACAGCCGTTACACTACCCTGTCCTTACCGTAACAACAAAAATCATGCTTATATGCTTATTGATTTTATTCATTTGATACAATTTGTTTATGTCAAATAAGATTCCAAAACATTTGAAATCTTTGAATTGATAATTTAGATACAAACAACATTAAACTAGAAAAGTGTCACTGCCGTCACAAAATCTGTCCTTACCGTAACAAAACCCATGGTAACGGCAGTGACCGTAATTGTAGTGACAGCCTCTAATAATATCAGTTTTAAAACAATAACTGGCCCCCAAAGTTTACTGAGCTCATGGTTTCAGATGATTTCCCCTACTGTCTAAGGTACTTGGCATTGTTTGGCTTCACATTAGTAACTGGTTTCGGCGGTAACCACAGTAACGGTTATTACATGCAAAAATCTCAGATATAATTCTGTACACACCTTTTTCGCAATAACATTCAGAAAAATAATGGCAACCCGGCAACTATTCTCGAAACGTTCGTGGCCCTACGAACTTCTTAAGCCCATTCTTAACACAATGGCTACGATCAAAGTTAAGAATTTCAAGTAAGATTGCTTTGTGACGTCATCATGTTTTGACGTCATAGTTACAGTTCGGTTCATAATTATTGAGAATCCCATGAACGTTACTAAAAAGGGTATAATGATTGAAATGTGAAATTACTCAGTATTCAATACTTGTACATACCATGTGGATTTCTGCAGGTATGAAATGAATATTTTTACGACACTCGTGCCTAAATATCGGTATATCCCTCGCTCTCGCTCGGGAAATACCAACATTTAGGCACTCGTGTCGTAAACATAGTATGACATGGGCGCTCATATAATATCCTCTATTTATTACCTGCGAGGGCAAACATATCGGGGCGCATATTTTCATACGATGCCCTAGGGCAAAATATCACTTTGTCATGGTGACGCGACGTCATGAACAATGCTATAACGTCACGTTTCTTCTAATGACGTTGCGCTCTACATACTGCGACGGCGGGTAGCCAGCCTATGTTTGAAAGCACATTTGGGTTCTCAATTTGACGACTTCGGTAATAAGCAGATATTACATTCGTGCCCATAGCATACTATGTTTACTCGTGCCTATAGGATCCCCGTTACTTTCCATGCAGTCTAATGCGGGTAGGCTTACTCCCTATCAGAGAATTTGGAGTTTCATGAGGGATACTGTCCCAATATCGCACTACCTCTCTCTTCATGTCTTCAAAGTTTGGTGAATCCCCTTTGGTTAACACTCTCCTTCATCCCCCAAATGTTCTCAGTGGGATTCAGGTCCGAGCTGTAGCTGGGAAATGGGAGCAATATCATGTTTTTCTCTTGGAACCACTGTATAGAGGGCTTTGCCGTGTTTGTTGCAAAATCCAGTCATTCCCATAAAAGACTCCTGCATTTGGAAGAAGAAAGTTCTCAAGAATGTCTGTGTACCGTTCACTAGCCAAATTTCCCTCAAACACGCACAAAATAGTCGTTCCCAGTAACGATACTCCACTCCACACATGAAACTTGGGACTACATTTCGGCCTGTGGTACGCCGGTGCTGAATCAGATTTTGTCCACATTTTAACATTATTACGATACACCCAGGCTGAACTTTCATCACTGAAAATTATGTTGCTCAAGTCAAAGTTTTCATGGTCGCCACAAAACACGGGTTTCCTTATGCTTGTCTTTCATGGCTGGAGTCGGCGTTCCCTCTTTTTGTCCCATACAAGATCAGTTCGTCTGATAGTGGATTTAGAAGCACTAGGTGAGCCTCTATTTAGCATCTCATACCTGATGTTGGATATACTTGCTCTTTTCTTAGTTGAAGCCAAAATACCAATTCTGACCCCATCTCCAAATTCCAATTTTCTGGGCCCCCCTGCTCCTTTCTTGTACTCAATTCCAGCTCCACTCTCACTATTCTTCTTAACCCTGTACACAGTTGATAGAGGAGCGTCTGCTCTGGACATCAGTGATACCTCCAGTACAAATTTAAAATCAACCTTCTTTTCCCTTCAGCAGCCATTTTGGAAAATGTCTTCTGCTTAAAATTTCAGGGGAGGTAACTCTAATCTGACACGTCTAGAAAGACAAGAAGAGTGCCTCCCTTGGTCTGATAGCAGAATTTCATCATCAGTGGAGCTGATGAATAAACCTAGGAGTTCAAACTAACATGAAAAATTCTCAATAATTATGAACCGAACTAACGAAACACTAGTGCTGGACGTGTATGTGTGAGTGAGTGAGTTATTATTTAGCGTCACATCGGCAATATTTCAG